TGATCACCAGACGGAGGGAAGAATATGCTGCAACATGGGCGAAGGAATATTATGTACAAACACTTGGCACACGGACGAATCTGACTCGAAGAATTGCATTTTAAAAAAGATACGTAGTGCACATGACTACGGTAACAACTCCATCGAGGTATGGACACACGAAAGGGGCGCTACGAAGAAGGAACAAAACGGCATTAACGCACGACGCGGCATTAGTGTACAGAACGCCATTAACTCGCTCAACGCGATTGACTCGCACAATGCACATAAATATCACGTGAAGGTAAAAAAGATCTGCTGCAGCCACGGAAATCAAGAGGGACAAGTGTGGGGAGATGAGGGCAGCTTTAAAAATATCCTCTTTTGCAACGCACATGACACCAATTTTAAAAAAATGACACTTAAAAATAGGAACATTGAAAGCTTCCACATTTGCTCCCTTAACTCCTCGCGCGTGGAAGAATTCGCAAATGTGAATTATCGCCATGGTATGGAGAACATCTGCATATTCCGAGACTTCTGAGCCCCTCAGGAGTTTCCTTCCTTGGCTCGGTACTCGCTTTCGATGACGTAAACCTGCGGTGAAAGAGAAGCGATCAAGAAAAGCGGCACATTTGAAATGAGGGAAGCGATCGGGGAAAGCCGCACATTTGCAATAGCGGAAGCGACGCAGAGTAGTGGCACATTTCGAGGACGCGGCGCTCAGTGGTGATCGATCCTCCGTGACCGCTTCGCAGCTGGCCTTCTCTCGGTACCTTGTCCGATTTGTGCATGATGAAGTTGCGCTGCGGGCAGGGGATGACGATGCTCATGTTGTTTTCCTGGTTGCAGCGGTAAATGCCGATGACGATGGAGCCTTTCTTGAGGTACTTCTGCAGAGGGGGGGAGGCGGAATCGCGTTGGGGTGGTGCTACCTCGTGATGTTGCTTATATCGGGATGGCGCTACACCAAAGCAGTAGCACATGTTGTAGTGGGCTACACTTCCACCGCTGCGCTGGAGCGCCCTGGAACCCACCTGGAAGAGAAAGAAGAAGTTCCTCGAGTGGTACTTGGGGTTTATCCTCCTGAGGAGCAAATCCGACTTTATCCTCTTGGAGCTGTCCGCGTACGTACCGTTTATGAAGGCTTCAATGGTGTCGATACTGAGCGAATTATTCTTGATGGGGAAGGTATACCCAATGAAGTGATAAATGAGTTCATCGATGAAGACACTGGCAGAGGTGAATTGTAAAAAGTACAAATAAAAATAATAATTGTCCACAAAAATGTGCTCGATTTTTTTGTATATATTTTCCACAAGGAGATTCCCATATTTAAAAAATTGTATTTGTTTTTTGTAATTTTCGATGAAGAGCAAATTGTGCGCCTTGTTCATGTTAACGATTTTGTTTTTGTTTTTTTTTAAAATGTCGATATTTTTATACACATCATTGTTTAAGTACTGAACAGAAAGTGTGTTATTTAGCTCTATCAGTAGGTAAACATTTCTCCTCTTTTTTTTATTTTTATCATTTACGAGGTTGTTACATGCTTCGTCCATTTTTTCCCTTACTTGGACATCGACAGAATGACTGTTTCGCTCTTCGGCATGCCCACTTGGAATGTCCCTTTTCTCTGTCGCCTTTTTTTTAAGTAAATAGTGATCATACAATTTTGATTTCTTATTTTCTTCACCTATGTAGTAATCCACCAAGGCATCGTTCACGTCCCTCCTCCGGAAAATATTTTGTATGTTGTTAAAGATGATGAGGAGGTCACTGTCGTTATGTTCACACATGTACTCAACGTAGTTGATATTTTTGGCCTTCTCATTATATGATATGATATTGTGATGGGAATTCAACTTTAAATAACTTTTAAAAATGACGCATTTTTTGCAGCGCAGGATTCCTGCGAGGATTAAATTGTACATGGATAGCGGCGACTTCTGTATGTAGCAGATGCTGTACTTGGCCAATTTGTTGTTGTGGATGTAAGACGGAACTTGGTCGCCCAGGATGACGATGTTGTGTCTCCTCCGCTTGTGCAGCACCTTCAGGAAGGTGTTGATGGATTGGGGCCAGTATATCAGGATGATGAAGTCATCCCGCGGGGGGTTGGCTTCTTTGCCCGGTTTGTCGAGCGGCCGGCTGGCTTCTTTGCCCTCCCGCCTGATGCGGAAGAACTGCAGAGCCTGCAAATAATTGTCCACACGAAGGATACCCAACACGGGATTGAAGTAAACCCCGGGTTGGCCTTTCAGCTTGTTCATCTCATTGTAGTAGTGGTGACCACCACTGGGTGCCGACTGGCTCTTGTTCTTCCCCCCCTTTGAGGCATCACTCTTTTTAATGTTCACGTAGTCTATACAGCTCAGCCAATCCAGTTCCACCTTCCTCAAGTGCTGTATTTTCTGTAGAATGTTGTACTTATCTGTGAGCAGAATAAACTGCACGTCAAGACAGGTGTAAACAAAATTAACAGGGTTTAGCACCACCTCGCTGTACTGATTTATGATGCCTATGAGGAAGGCATTGTAATTCATAAACATATACTGGACGATGGTGATAAAATGGAAATTGAGAAAGCTTTCCGGCAGCTTTATTCTGTATATGTTGTATTTTATTCCCTTCATATAGTGCAGGTAATTATTGTACGAATTGTAACACAGATTTTCATCGAACTCGTGTGATAGGAAGCTTCGGAATGGCATTTTATTTTTTGTCCCTCCTTGGGTGATGCTCTTTACCCTTTTGAGGATCGAAGCGGATGGCCTACTGCTTCTCTTCGTGCGTTGTGGACTCTTCTCCGTTGCATCCCCCGTGCGGAGGTCAATTTTGTAGAAATTGCTTTCGCGGGATTGCTTACCATTGGGGTGATCCCTCTCGGGGGAGCGCTGGCTCTTTTTTCCGCTGAACAGGTGTAGCCATCTAGAAAGGAAGCGACTCCGTGGGTAGGGTCTGTCGTGGGTATGTGGATCGTATGGACCGCCTCCCCTGTAACTTTCCCACCTTTTGGATGCACTCGGCTGGGTCGACGTCCTCCCCAGGTGGTTCTCCTCCCGATCGCTGGCTCCCCCCTCAGTGGAGGAGCCAAAGAGAGGACTCTCCGGGTTGACATCCTCCTCCAAGTTGTCAAAATATTTGCTCAAAATGTACGTGTGCTTAGATTTCAACTTTTGCGGTGTGTTTATGAAGAAGAGAATAGTGAGGAGAAACATACCGGGGCAGTCATCCAAAGTTTTGGCAAAAAGCTTCATTTTCAGTTCGTTGAGGCAAATAATATTCCGATTGGTCCGCTTGAGCAGAATGCTATTATTACACATATTGTTCAGGAAGACGGAAATGCATTTATTAAAAGGTCCAAGGGAATTAATTTCGTTGTACCTTTTTAGAGTCTCCATGTCGTTATTTATATTGTGGTGTGTATTCATGACATTGTTACATATGAAGATCCCACTGCTGAAGGAAATAATTTTCTTAATTTTGAGAGGAAACGGTTTGTTCAAATCATAGAGACAAAGGCTGATTTGACAGGACCCCTTTCTGTTCAGAAGGCGAATGATATTTAAGTAAAATTTAACTGGAAGACTTGTTAGAAAAATAATTTCGTCTAAATTGTTATACGTAGCTTGTAACTCATTAATGATCACATAGAGAGCAATCGGCTTCACGTGTCCTATGATGACAAAGTACCGGGCGCCAATGTTTGGAATCTTCCCGTATATCTTTTTATCCTCCACCATATGGTCCTTCAGATACCTTATCTTGTAGTGTATATAGGTGAAAATCATGAATATGTAGAATATATGGCTAACTTTTCCCTGCAAAGTGTAAGGGAAGCATGTCCCTTTTCCCATGGCTGCGGTGGATACGGTTTGCATCCCGGAAAAGACGTAATCATATATTTGATAATCCCCTCTACAGGGCTGCTCAATTAAGAGGTGGATACAAGAAGAGGTATATATGACGACTAAAATTTGAACGGACAGCGTGATCACTGGGAAGTTTATCTTGCTGTAGTTGTTACTTTGGCCAAACAGATTCTCTATTCGTAAAAAATTCAGGAAGCGAAATGGACACGACAGGTACAGCCATCCATGCTTCCTGAAGGGACAATTCGTTACGTACGAAACTAGGAGGTAGAAAAATGGGCTATTCATTAAGTTTAGAAGGAACCAGAAACTTAAAATATGCTTCGCACAGAAGAAGAGGAAGAATTTTATGCATATATCGTACAGGATAAAGTACTGGATGTACGCTTCGATCTTCGTGAAGTAGGCAGGGATGTATTGCATGTTCCAGTTAAACATGCCCACGTCCTTCTCCATATCGTTCCTTCGTAGGTAGTGATACACATAAAGCCAAGCTATGTTCAGCATGAGCGTTATCAACAAATCGGAGATAACGAATGACGTGTTTTTGCAGAATTTTACGAACACCACTTTTACGTTGATTATACATTTGAGGAGTAAATTATGCCACCTGGAAAAATCCGTATCCTTTTGTACGTGTTTATTTCGATCGTAGAAGCTGTGCAGCGTATACTTGTTCGTATTTGACTCCATTCCTGGGAAGTAACTCGTCTTCCACTTGTTAATGCTTCTCCTTCTGTGAAACAGCTTGTTCAGCATGAAGCATATGTACTTTTTCTTATTTCTATCGAATCGAATGCTTTCCTCTGTGCAGTCTTCATTTGGGATGTTTAGGTACTTGGTGTCGTAGAGAAACGATCCCATGTGCTTTCTTTCCTTCTTCTTCAAGTCGTCCTGCGTTGTGTGCCTTTTTCCACTCAAGTGGGGCCCTCCAGGATGAGGCACGAATTGGTATGGCTCCCCAGCCAGATTGTTCCCATTCACGTTGTTCCCATTCACGTTGTCCCGATACAGGTTGGCCCCTTCCTCCCCCTCCGACTGGTTCAGCTCGATGTACTTGATAATCCGATCTTGCATTTTAAGCGTTTTCCTTCGATCGCCCAAGCAGATCTTTTCAAACTCCTCGCAGCTGTCTATGATGTACTTTTTGTTCTCCCCCGCCTCCTTCAATACGTAGTCGTTCATTTCGCTTTTGCTGTACCTGCGTGATTTTTTCCCCGGTCTTCTTTGCCGCTGGAGTTTCATCGAGGGGTTCGTCTGACCATTCACGTTTGGGGCGCTCCCCTCCAAGGGGCCACTTCCCCTCACGTGGGTGCTTCCCCCTGAGGAGGAGTCCTCTTCGCTGGATTGACTCTCCCCCGTGTAAAACGTGTCGGTTCCCCCGCCGCAGGATCGCTTTCCCCCCCCCGAGTACCCACGGCCAAAGTTGACCTTCTCGAAATGGTCCTGCTTCATATACAAAAAACTGGTGTCTACCAAATGATCGATCTTTAAATCCTTGTCATTGCTTTTCCTTCGCAGTGAATCTTCCTTCTTCAAAGAGTACGAGTAAATTTTCTTCTTCCTCGTTTTGTAAAATAGGGTATACTTTATCGAGTTGGTTATCTCCGGCAGAATGGCTAGCCAGTACGACACGACGTATATCAGGAGTAGAGCCAGAAGACTTGAATAGCGAATGGAGCGATCATATATGGACATGAAATCGAGGAAGAAGTAGCAGGACCCGATCAGAATCAGCACGAAGACGATCCGCTCGATCAGCGCACGTATCATTATCATCTTGTCTTTTGTCTTCCATCAGGTGGGATGCCCTTTGCTCTGCGCGCCCGCGGGAGGAAGTATATCTAAGAACCGGTTCCGTGTGGCTCCAGAACAGCCCTTTTCTCTTACCCCACTAATATAAAGGAGTGTATGAACTGGTGACAGGAGAAGATAGAACTCCTCTCAGGAAAACCAAAAAAAGAGAAACTGTTATCATCAGATGGATGCTTTGTGGCGCCTCTTTCCCCTTAGCGTCACACTGGACCGAGATTCACATGCGAAACCTCTGCCGTGGCAGCCAATCCGGGGACATTTTCGGACATTCGTACGTTCGAGCAGAAGCCGCACCGGCGGTCGTCACCCGGGCGGAAATAGATCGCTAAGGGTTAAACCATAGGGATAGGCAAGGAACGAAAAAAAACAAAAAAAGCTAAAAAAAACAAAAAAAGCTAAAAAAAACAAAAAAGGCTAAAAAAAACAAAAAAAGCTAAAAAAAAACGAAAACAACGAAAGAAGGAGTAAATGTATCTAGCAAGGGGCTTGACCAAATGCCTCTAACAAAAGGATACAACTTGGGGTTTACTCTCATGAACATGTTCTGTTAATGCCCACTTTAGCTTCGCTCTTAAACCTACTATCGCGTCGAATTAATTGTCACTCCTTTTAAAATTGCCCCTTATATTTAAAAGCGTTTTTTTCGTTTTTTTTCTTTTTTTTTTGTGCACACTCGGAGTGGTGAGTACATATGGAGGCAAACTATAAAGAGTCATGCAATTTGAGTGACTCGCCGATCTTTTTTCTTTCTTTCGGTCTTATCACGTTTGCAATTTTGTACATGTATTGAAGGTTACTTTTCCAAGTTTCACACTTTCACCACAGCTGTAAGTTTAACAAACGCTTGTGTGCGCTTTTTCCCAATTGGTAATTTTCCTATTTTTGCCTCCTGGGTTGGTCCCATCGACGAGAATTCGCATCCCATGGATGCGTCACCGAACAGGCGACTCGTTCAGCTTATTTCCAGTGAGCTACGACCCCTGTTGCACCAGTGACAGGTGGAAGAAAGGTAAATAGGGGGACCCCTTCTGTAGAAGTGAAGACGCATTTTTACTCCGGTTAAGTCGCTTCGTTCCATTTTGTAGGTCTCGTCTGGCGACAAAAATTTTACAAGTACAGGAATACTTCCAAAGAGTCGTAATATTCCGTGCGCATAAGTATGCGCCTACGTGGAATGGTCCCTATCGTGGCATTTTTCTTTCTTCTTTCTTTATTGCAAATTGAAAACGTGTTTCGTGATGTGGACCCCCCTGCGCAAAGGAGGACGTAGGCGCCAGCGTACCCAGACACGGATATAAGCATGTGTGCACATGTACGCTTCCATGGGCATAGGAAAAAAACTTTCGCATTTCTCCTTTTTTTCTGTTTGGCACATCAGCAAGGTACATGGCCAACATGATCCACACGAACATTAAAAAAAAAAAAAAATTAATTTGAAGAGACAGACAGACAGACGGGGAGAGAATACCGGAGGCGGGGGAAGAAAAAAACGAAAAGTTCGGAATCAAAGGAGCACAGGGGCATACGTGCGTTTGCCTCGGCAAATGCGAATGCTGCCTAGTACGGCACGGCCAAACGCACACTAGTAGGCGTCAGTTCGAGCGCGCCGTTAAATTACGTGCCAAAGGGGGTAATAAATCATTTTTAGAGTCACGCAAGGTGGGCATGCACTTCTCTGCGCTCTGCGCTGAGGAAACGACGCTCTGCTGCAAATGGACTAGGCGAATGGGTGACGCGGGGAAGCAGATAACCTTCCGCTAATTAGGCTAACCACCGCTAACCACCTAGCTGAGGTAGTAACCCAGCAGTATCTTGGTGGACTCGTTGAAGCCGTGGGCAGTGGCGGCGGCCTCCTTCTTGGAGCGCACCTCGTGGAAGTAATCGCGCACCTCCTTGGCCAGGACCTTGCCCAGCTCGACGCCCCACTGGTCGAAGCTATTAACATTGAGCAGGTATCCCTCGGCGACGACTCGGGATTCGTATAGAGAGAGCAGCAGGCCGCACGTGTAGAAGTTTAATTCATCAAAAAGTAGCAGAGTGGAAGGTCGATTGCCTTGGAAGATTTTATGGGTTAGCAATTCTGGAGCCATTTTTGTTTTGTTCGTTTCGTTTTCTTTAGCTACCTCTTCTAAGCTCTTCCCTAACGCCAAGGCATCAGCCTGCGCAAAAAAGTTCGTCATAAGTTCATCATGGTTACTAACCTTTTCACTCGGGAAATGAAGAGGGAAGTGGGAATGTTTGAAGCCGATCAATTCTACTGGAATTATCTGTCCTTGGTGAATTAACTGATAGAAGCTGTGTTGTCCATTGGTCCCTGGTTCTCCAAAAAACACGGGACATGTGTTATAAGTAACAAGCTTATTACTTCGGTCCACCGTTTTCCCGTTGCTCTCCATGGATAGCTGCTGAATATGAGCAGCAAATTTTAGCAGATTTTGAAAGTATGGCAAAATGGCTACATTTTTACAATCCCAAAATTGGTTGTTGTAAAAACTGGTTAGAGCTAACAGGACAGGGATGTTCTCTTCGAAGTTTGTTTTTAAAAAATGCTCATCCATGTCGTGACAGCCATTGAGGAACTGCCTCATATTTTGATAGCCAAATGCAATGGAGAGAGGTAGAATACCCACTGCACTGGTTACAGAGAATCTTCCTCCTACCCAGTCCCAAAATTCAAATACGTTTTCTCGCATTATGCCGAATTCGTCTGTGAGTTTTAAGTTGGTACTAACTGCAACCATATGCTTGCTCAATTGTTCGTCATCGTTTATTTTTAAGCTTAGCCAATGTTTGATAGACCTCGCATTGAGCATCGTCTCCGCTGTGGTAAACGTTTTGGAAATGATCACAACGAGTGTGTCCGTCTGTTCGATGTTGTGGACAGCCCTGTTGATATCGTTTGGGTCTACGTTGGCCAAAAATCGTACGTTAATTATTTCGTCCTGGTCATAATCCATATCGAAGTTACTTTCCGCGCCATTTTTGCATCCCCCCTCGTTGGCCTTTTTTTCTTTCTTCTTCTTCTCCACCATGCTGTTGTAATAGTAGTACTTCATCGCCTCATAAACAAATTCCGTGCCAAGGTACGATCCCCCTATGCCTATACATATTAAGTTTTTAAACTTGGTGTTTTTGCAAGTCTTTATCGTTCCGTTTCGAATGCTATCTGAATATGCTTCAATTTTTTTTAACACGTCATGTACATTTTCGAGGATGTTTTTTCCGTCCAGTACAATTTTGTGTGTATTTATTTTTTCGATTGGCATTCGCAAGGCAGTGTGAAGGACGCTCCTATTTTCCGTCATGTTCATTTTTTCCCCTTTAAATGTCTTTTCGATTTTTTCCTTCAGTTTGACTTCCTCCGCGTATTCGATTAACTTGCTCAGCGTCTTCGCTCCATACCTTTGGCGAGACAGGTCTATGTAGAAGTTCTTAAACCTTTTGATCAGCAGTTCGGACCTCTCTTTATCCTTGAGGTACTGCTTCAGGTTCACTTTCTTTTCCTCCTCGCTCAGGCTCACCAGCTCTTTGTAGCTCTTCAGCCCGGTGACGTCCATGGTTACGGTGGAGAAGCGGAGAAACGGCGCAACTACAAAGTCACGGCAGATCAAATGTCCGATCAAGTGGAGGTATCCCCTCTTCCCACCTTCCCCAACGAGTTACCGTGCTGAGTGGATGGTACTTGTTGGAAGGAAACTCGTGTCCGCGCGGTGTCACATAAACGCAGGCATACATTCCTGTTCGCATTTCACGCGGTGTATCAGGGGCAGATTCCCGTGGGGCAAACACAACAGTGCTAATACACCTGTTTCGGTTTTCCCCGCGGAGGTTACTCGTCCAATCAAATGGTAAAAAGCTGGCAAAAGAAGTGGCGAAAAAGTGGCAAAAAATATTGAAAACGCGAAGTTACTAATGCAGTTAGCGCACGAAGTGAAGGGATGCTCACTGCCAAACACACACTCCGGAGGGACATGCAAGCACGCGCAGCTACATATACATGTATACATAAGCATGCAGACACGAACGTACGTATTCCGACTTGTACACGTCCGTGTGCCTTCGCGGGTTTCCAATTTGAAAAAAAAAAAAAAATTGTGCTTCTTATTATGTAACACGGCAAAATTTTCAGCAAACTAAGAGATCAATTGGAGAGGGTTCAAGGGGTGACTTCGTGTATCGTTAATATTTTTGCATTTTCTCTCTGGTTGGTAGAGAGTGCGATTTACTCGCAAGCTTTATCGTTCATTTCGAGGTTGCAAACGAATGACAATTGTTCATTCCTCTAGGCTACGCATTAGTACTGACCAAACAAATATGTACACGGCTATAAAACGAAAGAAAAAAAAAGAAAATAATAGCGCGTTCACTTTTCTTAACTCCCTTTTATTCCTTTGCTGGAACGACTTGCGAGAGTTTCAAACGTATACGCAACAAGCAGAGGTGGTTGCCAAAGCTCCCGCCCATGTAAGCTCTCACACATGTACGTATAGATGATTTACGCAAAAGGAGGTAAAATATGTAGTTTTTTTTTTTTTTCTTGCAAATTCTCACGTGCAGCAAATTTTTAGCACCTAAACCTGCGTAGAGAGTGTCATGCAATTTTGGCTAAAAAAGCCAACTTGTAAGAAATGTAAATAATTAAGGCGAAAAAAGGAAATAATTCTTCCAAAAGATTATAGAAGTTTCTCAAAAGTTTGCCAAATTGCCAGTTTTCCAATTGCACAAATTGGACAAATGTTCTTCCACTTGCGCGCGATAGGTTAGGCACATTAAATTAGTAGTTAACGTTGCAAGGGGTGGGGGGTGAGAAATAACTTAACTTTCCCCTACGAAAAGGGATATATATGGATACGGGTTCTTCGCTCGGTGATTACGCTTTGGTGTAACCTTGCCAAAATTTTGCCGACCATTAGGAGAAAAATTGTCCCCCCAATTGGCGAAATATGCGCCTAATCTTCACACAGAATTGGCTCACATTTTACGAAAAATTCCCATATATTTCATGCAAATTTCATGCAAACTCGATGCAAACTGGATGCAAACTGAATGCAAATTCGATGCAATTTTTCTCCCCTTATTTTTGTTGCTACTCACGCGGTTGTATTCTGCTTACCGCTTCTACTCTCCTGGAGTGGAAATACAATACGCCACACTGACACATTTGACGGCAACGAATAGGCTGCGCCTTTTTCGGGGGCTGTCGCGAGTGCGCGCGGCGTTAACACCGTCACGTGATCGCTGTAGCTGAAAGGTACGCTTGGGGAGTGTTGCTTAAAAAGTTACGCTAAAAAAGTTACACTAAAAAGTTACCTGATAAAGTTATGCTAAGAAGTTACCTGATAAAGTTACGCTTCGAATGCCATTTGTATGCCATGCTCCGCATCTGCTGTGCCAATTGCGGAGAAAAAATACATCCATGTCTTAACTGCGCGAAGGAAAAAACGCTTTAGAGAAGGAAGTGCAAGTTTACGCCGCTCTCATTTCAAATTTAGCTAGTGGCATTTTCTCCTCGTATTTTTACAAAAAAAAAAAAGTGCACACATATAACATATACACGGTAGCACCTTATTTTGAATTGAATGTCTTCACAGCATCCAAATAATTTTATTTTAAATAAATACAGGCATAAAAAAAAAAAAAATACCCATTCGCTTCTGTAACCTTCATTTAAATGGAAAAATTGCGAAGCAGTAGATGCTGTAGCCTATACCTCCCATTTCATTTTTCCCAGCTGTGCATTTATTCGCCCCTGCCGCAAATTGGCACATGCATATTTAAGTGCCTAAGAAAAAAAAATATTTCCTTTTGTAGGCATGTATAACCCCTCGAATGCGTTTCCATGACCAGGTACTTTCCCCCCTATTGCATTTTTCGCTACTTAAAAAGAAATGTAAAAAATACCGGCGCCGTAAGCCCCCTGCATAATCGAAGCGGAGCGTGCGCAAAGGACATCCCACTTGAAAAAGGTCCTGCAATTACGCCTTTGAATAACACCACCCCTTATCTACCCTTATGTGTAGGCAAACATGCGTGTCGAATGAGAGCAACTGATACACGCGTGCAGCACGCACATTATGTATGTACCCCCCTCCAACAACGCGCGGAAAATGAACCAGTTCCTCCTCCGTCGCTGCCAAAAGTTCAAACCCTTTAAGACATTCAAAAGGTCCAAATGCCTAATCAACAACGCGCTGAGTAACAAAAACTTAAAATGGAAGACCACAAACGAGTCGTACTGTGAGTACATACTCACGCCGGAGGAGGAAGCAGAACTAAGACAAAATCATTTCCGCATAATTGCAAGCAACGACATAAATGTAGATGGGCATATCATGAACGAAGGCGTTAAAAATTATAAGGACAATATGAACACCTCTACATACTACAAAGAATTAAACTCCAATTTGAATGACATCAAAAGTGGCAGCAGCGTTTTTTTCCACTATTATGTGAAAATTTTAAACAGTCTAATGGAAAAGGTTCGGAATGTTCCCATTATAAATTATCTGTACAACAATATCGTGTTGAGGTACAGAGTAAACATTCACGTATTCGTTTCGCCACTGTACGATAGGATAAACAATGAAAAACTGTTTGTAAAATTTCAAATAAACAAAAACGACGTTAGACAAATTATGTACTTCTTATGTATGCACGTGTGGATTTACTGCGCCAAGTTAAATACGATGAATAATCGGTATTTAAAGATTCTTCTGTGGGAACTCATATGGGATTATTACAGGGCCTTACTCATCAAGTACAAAATTTCTGAGTTCTCCTTCAATACGTATTTGATTAATATGCAAGAATATTCCCTGGGATTTTGCATCGGGTTGGATGAATGCATAGGAAAAGAATTCTACGCGGGAAATATTTGCAACCTGCTCTTTAATCATATTTACAACGAGAAAGACCAGTTTAAGAACTCCAGAGAGTTAATAGACTTAACCATTTACTGCATACGGATGTACCACTTTGTTCTCCAGTTACCCGAGGACAACTTCACGCGCGCTAGGTTTACCTGGCCGGACCTGAAGTAGGCTTTTTCAGCGCTTCAAAATTTTGAATTTGATTAAAGCGAATTAAAACGCATTAAAGCGTGTTAAATTGAATTGGACCGATTTTTTTTTTTTTTTTTTTTTTGTGCATGTATGTGTGTACATACAGCTAGCCACGGACTCCCCCCGCACACTTCGCAAGTGCGTACTTTTCTCCATAGGAGAACAAGAAAAAAAAAATGCTAAAATGGCAACCCCGTTGAGGCTTAAAATCGTTGGGGTAAAGGTACACGTAGGAAAACCTGGATAAAACGTGCAACTTTTGTTTTTGTTTTTTTTTTGGTTAGCTGGTGTGCCCCCCAAATGCATTATGCGTGAGTTGTTCAGGTAAATTGGTATCCACAGTTGGGCACATACGCATTGGGGCATACCAACAGTTGGGCATATCCACAGTTTGTCACATCCGAAATTGGGCACATGCTCCCTTCGTTGCAGTGCACGTCCGCACGCTCGCCTCTCCCGGTTAAGTGCTAACCGACTTCACGTGAATATGGACGTATACATTCTGGCCCCACAGTTGCGTCAACTTGTAAGAGACATTTCTGCGCATGTTAATTATAAGCTTGTTGTGAACGCCGCAAATCATTTTAGCAACCTTTTGACTTTTCACAACAATTTGATATTCAATTATGAGGGAGTTGTTCAAATTCACACACCATGACAGCATGTTGTGCTTGACTTTGTAAGGGACGTCCTTATTAAACCAACAATACAAATAGGTGTTAATGAGCTGTTCAACGACTTGTACTTTGGTCAACGTTGTGTTGGAGTCCTTGGGATAAACCCAAAATTGATTTTTCGCCTTAAACTTGGCTAAATAATCCAGTAATTCCTCAACCCCTTTGTTATATTTTGCGGAAATAAAAAATATGTTGTCAAAATTCCCGTTGCTCATAAATTCCTTGGCCCGCGCATTGGCCCACTTATTTTTTGTGCATAAGTCTACTTTGTTTAGGACGAGTATCACCGGCGGGACCAACTTTTGCTGTTCCCGTTCAGCATTCGCGGTGTTTTTACTGTCTACATCATTGTCGTATGATTCAATAATTTTTTTCCTGTTTTTAAGTAAGTTTTTTTTGACACTTTTGTCGCTATACTTGGCCTCTTTTTCCATTGCGCTGGAGAAGTACTCTAGGAATTTTTGCATATTTTTTTGGGAATTTTCGTATACCTCTTCGTTGGTGGAGCTGCTATTCAAATCGCTTTGCGGTTTCCCCTTCCATTCCAAATGTTCCTCCTGATCATTGTCTTCACTGAGATGATTAAAGTCGTAGTGCTGCGATTCCCCCTCGTCTTCGCTCCCACTGCTGTATGCTTCTACCTTCTTCGGTGCTAGCATCCGTACTATGTTGAGCACGTCGTGTGTTGGCCTCTTCACAGTGTCTGCGATAAATAAAACCAAGTCTGCTTCCTCATACCCCTTCCATGCATAACTGACTAATTCTTTACAAAACTTTTTTTTCTTATGTGACGGGACAATACCAGGCGAATCGATAAAAATCAGCTGAACGTTGTCTTTTGTGTATATTCCTTTTATGTCCTGTCTGGTAGTATTAATTTTTGGCGAAACTGCTGAAATGGTTTTATTCAAAATGGAATTTAGGAGAGAGCTTTTCCCCGCATTGGGGGCCCCAATTAGTGCCACTTTTAGAAATTTCGGATTTGTCGGCTGTTCTGGTATCTTCCACGTATTCATGTAGGCACTTTTTGGTATAACTCCTCTGGTTATATTTGGAGGGTAATAGGTGCTTGCGCCTTTTTCACTGGCCTTTCTTTCCTCTCCATTTCTGGCCCCATCACCTTTGATCCCTTCATTTTTCGCCTCCTTAATTTTGAATTCGTGCGACAGTGGCTTCGCCCTTAAGTATCTTTCCAAAATGGAGAAATTCCGCACACTAAGAAGTGGAGCACATTTCGGCTTCTTATTTAGTGGGTCAAATAGGTACCCGGCACATTTCAGCATTTTGATTGGTACACACTGGGGGAAACATGCACAAGCTGCGTGTGTTCACTTGGTGGTTTCTTTTATTTGGGAGAGGCTACCCGCCGCAGGTGGATCCATTTCGGTTTCACTCCAAAAATGAGAAAAAAATCAGCATAGGTTGTCTCCTTTTGTTGCTCTCCCCGTGTGAGGGATTTTTTCCAGTGGAGCTGCGTTGTTCCGTCGCTCCGTTGCTGTGTCGCGGTTTGAGGATTGCCTGACTCATGCACCAACCAGAGATGTGTCGTTTTGAAGATTTCTCCAGACGGTCTATGAGGACACAAGGCGTGAGGATGATCTTCCCCCATTTCCCCTCCACACTGCTAAGAAATTTTGGTGCCCCTAAAACGGGGTTCCTCTTTTGGAAGCAAAACCCAGGTTGAACGGTTGAGCATTGGGGTGGTCAGAAAAACGAGGGGGAAAAAAAAAAGAACATTCAGTAACGACCATGTGATAGCACTAAAATTCTCAAGTCCCTTAAAAGAAGTGAATCGAGTTTTTCCTTTTGGCACTTCATTATATAAGGAAAGATAAATAGCATATGTGCTCCAAATGGTTCATTTGCACTGGTGCGCGATGGCGTAACGGGTTTGTCAATGCAGTAAGCGACGTGAGGGCATGTCCCGTCCGCATGTCACATTTTTCAAAAAAAAAGAAAGAAATTCAAAACATATTCTTTTTCGATAATTACAAGTTTGTGCCTTTCCGCTAACTGGATGAACCTCTTTTGGATATAAGCATTTTCCCTTTTTTCGTGGTGTTTTGCGGATTTGCATAAGGGATACCGCGTTTTTCAAACTTGTACATACAAACCGCGTGATGAACTTTTTCCACCGTGTTGTGATGACAACAGGGAAAAGGTGAAAAAGTGAACGGTCGTTCTTCTTCCTCTTCGTTTGTTTTTAACACCAACCGCTTAGGATCGCCTTCTACTTGTGGCAAAATTTACGAAAGCGTTAGGAGCTCATTCCATTTTTTGTTTGCCACATTTTTTTTCCACAAATTGGGGGAAAAGATTAACAGCTCAGACTTATGGTTTGCGGAAAACGAAAGGTGCAAAAAAGGGGGAGAACTATGCATCCAATGGGTGGATAAACGGAAGGGAAAGAATAAGCAAAAAAAAAAAAAACAAACAAACAAACCTTGTAAAGAAGTGACGAGTGAAATGAAATTGAGGAATGCTCAGGGACGTGTATAAATCTGCATTTTCGTAATTTCCTTCTTTTTTTTATATTATAAAAGGGGAATGCCATAACAATGCGAATTTTTTTTTTTCCCCTTCCGCTCGTCTGGAAAAGAAACCGCAGCAAAAAGAAGCGACGCCACGGGAAAGGCATTTTCACCCCTTCAGACATATTATCATCCCCCCATTTTAACATATCCCCAAATTTATGAAGTCATATAATACCATATTTAACACTCTACATGGATGTTATCCGTGTAACCCTTCACGTAAGACTTGTTCCTTGCATGCGAGTTTCTTCCTGACAGCATTCTTTCCTCATTCATTGAAATCCGCCTATGTGCATGGCATACACACACAAGCTTGTACACATGTGGGTGTCTATATACACATGGACATGTAGCAAGTTTCTGAGCTGCTTCTCCGAGAAATTTTTTAACGCGCAAGTGACAAAACTTCTGTGCAATGTTTTGTGAACAGTTCTTGGTGGGCCTTAAATGGTAAAGAACAAAACCAGTCTGTGGCTATTGAAACACTCGCTTGTCATTTTTCGTCACCCCATGCGCACGGCCCTCAACAATTTGATAGTACCTGCTGGGAGGAAGCGCCTCGGGTGGGAAACCACACAAGGGCACGCGTAGGTACTACGTACGTAAGTTCATACGTCCACATGTGCACAGTTTAAACATATTCTCCTGGGTTTCGCCAGTGCTGTACTTGACGTAACAACGCACTTCCTCTTCCAAACGTGTGTAGGATAAAATCTTTCGTGCCTTTTGATGAACGCCGCCAAGTTGAAATCTTTTGCGAGTCAGCATTTGAACAGGAAAAAAGGCGCTATCAGCTGTAGCCCGTTACAACTTTTTCCGTTGACCTGTTTTTTTTTTTTTTTTTTTTTTTATTTGTCCTTACTATTCCCTTATTACGATAGGGACAAAAACGTAATGTTGCGCAGAACTACTGTGCTTTCCGCTACACTCGAAAGTAACTCCTTTATGTAACACAGAACCATTTGGAAACTTGTATATCGGTGGAGCAAAATCGGAGGAGCGAAATCAGGGCGCGAGTGCATCACTGCGTCAGCAAGTCAGCACATGTGCACCTTTTTTTTTTCACCTTTGTGCAAGCATTGCATACAAAAAGAATATCCCGTTGAGGACATATGACCATTCAAGGTGGATTCACAAACGTGTTGCAACAAAATGCCATGTTAGAAGCACTCTTGTGTGGGTTTTATTTCTGGGCCATCATCTTCGCGAGTATGTTTGTGTTTTTAATGTACTTACCTATTGTACATCCCCTTGTGAGCAAAAAGAGTGCAGTCCCTCCTCCCCCCCTCCACGCGTACAGATTTAGCGTTAACGTCACCCGTGGGGCGTTCCTTCCGTGAGGCCTTTGACACGATTGTTGGCGTGGCTTATGTGTGAGCTCAACGGTCATCATCAGAACGCGGAGCAGTCCTCTCACCAGCGGGCTTACCAGTCAGATTACTAGTGGGATTACTAGCATGCTTGCTAGATGCTTATCACCATTTCGTTCCTTTGCCGCCACGCAAAGCATACTTTCACACACCTGAAATAATTTTTTTTTTTTTTTTTTATCCCACAGATTTGGTTTTTTTCCTTTTTTTTTGGTTAGATAAATATACCGAGTTATTGTGTTTTCCATTCCTTCGTACATTTGTTTGTTTTTTTTTTGTGTTTTTTTTTTCCCCCATTTTTTTGCAATTCGCGCGGTTTTCTTTTCTTTGCCAAATGTGAGACCCAATCGTTTTTTTTTCTTTTTGCTTCCAATTGTACCTACCCAATACATACATGCAGAGTAATTAAAATGTTTAATTGCATCCACGGAGGGAAGCATTTGTGAGATTTGTTTGTAGTTGCGCGAATTCGTTGTAGAGAACGAGGGCCAAGTGGCAAAAAAGAGAGGAGAAATACCTGAGTATACCATTGTGTTTATATACACAATATTTGGCCGCATGTTGGACCCTCACGGAGGTCTATGTATGCACGACTGCCCCCGCGCTTGAAGTCACAACCGCGTGAGCTAACCGGGAGGAATCATCCCTGCCCGCCGCAAAAATATAAAATTGAAACAACTGTGGAAGAAGCTGGGGAACCAATACGAACAGGGGACACCCGACCGGCGAGCACACCGAATGAAGTACCGACTAGCCGTTTTTCGAACCGGCAGGAAGACCGCTTAACAGATCGATTGGTAGACCGATTAGCAGACCCATTGGTAGACTGCTTAACAGACCGATTATCGGACAGTATAACAGACCGCCTTACAAACCGCTCACCATCCGCGTACCAACCCCGTGCCAACAGGTACCAACAGCGTGCCAATCGCTTTCCACGCCCTCCAGCGAAAGAATGAATTTGCGCCTCACACCGCTTGCCCGGCGAGAGTAAGGACACAATGAAGAAAGCGGGACAGGGAAAATCGTTCGAGGCGCACAGGAACGTCAACCAAGAGAGGCTGGCCTACGTAATGTCCTACCTCGTAGGGAACGAAGTGAACGTTCATATGAAGGATGGAAACGAAGTGAAAGGGTTATTTCACGCATATAATTATGCAAATAAAGGAGAAAAAAAACAAGGGGATATTTCCTTAAATTACGCTAGGGTTCAGCCGAAGAAGGACCGAGTTAGCGGCCCAATAAACAAAGCAATGATCATTCCGGAAAATCTATACACCATAATTGTTGGGAAAAATATAAACCTAGAATTAAAAGACCCAGATGGGGTAAAAAAGGTGAAGGAGAAGTTTCAAATTGATGCAGATATTTCCGGAAGAAAAAAAAAATATAATTTTAATAGTGCCAATAGAGAGTTAAAGAGGTGGGTATGTGAAGGTCCATTTTACGATGAAAATAAATTAACCTTAGAAGACAACATGAAAGAACCATGGGATCAATTCGAACACAACAGGAAGATGTATGGGGTCACAACTACGTATAAAGAAGAATTATACACGACCAACTTAGACGTGAACAAGATTCCGCAGCATGTAAAAATGCACGCGGATAAAATTGCCAAAGAGTTAGAAAACAGAGGAATGCACCTCGACCCCGAGGATGCAGAAGGGGACAATAAAGAATTGGACGAAGAAGATTTGTTCGGAGCTGTAAGACAAAGTAAGGATAAGTTTTCGAAATTTTCCAAAGGAAAAAGGGAGGAAGGAAAAAGCATCCAGCCACAGGGCAGGTTTAACCAGTCCGCCCTCAGGGATTTGAAGGAGAAAATCCAGTCAGTCAAAATGGACAACGAGAAGAAATTTCCAAGTGAGTGAATTCGCCGCGCACCTGCCTCAGCGTCAGTGTTAGGGTCTGCATCCGCTCCCGCTGTGATTGACCTGTTATTTTTGGTCACCCCTGTCACCTCCGCCATTTTTTCTATCTCTGCGATTTTTCCTATTCTACCATTTTCTTTCTCTCGTACCCGACGGCGTATGAATGTTGAGCTCTAGCCCACTGCGCCTATGGGTGTACCCGCAACATTTCCCTCTGTCCCCTTTTCCTCCCCTTCCCTCTTTATCTCAAGCGAACAAGCAGAAAAAAATAAATTTCACCATATCGGCAAGTGGGGAAGACGTTGAAAGCAGCGAGAAAAACAATGACTCATCAAAGAAGGAAGACGGAAAAAGCGCCGAGTTTAGTGTAAGAGTTCAGAGGAAAAAAAAGATGCGTTCAAGTTGCGCTATTCAGTCACGCATTTATTGCGCTTTTGTTGCCAGCGCAGCCTGTGTGCATGATATATTATCCCCTTTTTTGGAAACTCCCCACTGGAGTGGATACCCAAACGAACCCATCCCCCTGACGTTCGCTTCATTGCACTTTATTAGTCCCTCCATCAGTCCATCCATCAGTGGTTCTATCCGTTCACCCACCTGTTCATCCGCCCGTGCAGGGAATCAATGCCCTAAATTTGGAACCAGCGTTGCCAAGATTGGATGAAAAAACCCGAACAGAATGGATCATGTTCAAGAATAAAGCAAAAAATAAAACTGTCAACAAAAAGGACAAATCAACGGAGAAACAAGAATTTATAACAGCAGCAAAGGAGTTTAATGAAAAATTAGCCAAGTAATAAAAAGAGAAAAAAAAATGCAGCGATTTTTTAAAATTGCACATATTAATACATCGTGTATACAAATGCTGACACCTACGCATATGCATTTACACCCCATTCGATAACTTGGTGGAAGACATAGTTATGTAAGATCTATCTTTCTGCATTTGCATCCCCCCATTACAGCAGTTAAATATCTAATGAGTAAATTTTTCCTCTTCTTTTTTTTCGCAATTTTTAGCAAAATGAGTACACAAACCCAGGAATCAAAGAACGAAGTAAACTTTGAACAGCTGGAGATCAACAACCCCACGTCTGAGCTGCAGACAACTGAGTTAAACATTACAGGTGAGGTCTCCGCGGGGGACTCTATCACGCCGGTAGCAGTTGGCCGACTGGTGAGGCCAGCCCATTGGAGGCGCTACAGTGGTCGTCACCCTAATTGAACTAATTACACTTATTACACTAATGAACCTAATTGCACTTATTACACTAATTAAACTAATTACACATCTTTTTTTTTTTACCGCCCCCCTGCAGAGAACGTCACCAATGCCAACGTCGACGAAACAGGTAAGCGATCCTGGACATCGTAGAGCCGACTAAGTGATACGTCCTCAATAAAGCCATCCCAACTGTGCCTTTTCGTTTTTTTTTTCCTCCTCCCGTCCGTACGCAGATGAGACTATAGCCTCCGAAAACGAAAACACGATAGTAAAGAGCAATACTGTCAGTTTGAGCAACTCGAGCATCCGCCCGTATGATACCTACATTTTAAACTTTAACAATTTTAATAACATGAACAATTTTAACAGCCTCAGTAGCTTTAAAAATTTGAACAACATGAACAACATGAACAACATGAGCAGCCTGTGCAACATTAGCAATATGAACCACCTGAACGGGTTTAACCATCCCAAACACTTTAACATGAAGCATGGCATGATTGGCCACAACGTGGGTACGACGGAACAGCGTACACACAAGCGCGACTATGCAAGTGCTCGCGTCAAGAGGAAATACATTTACGAGCAGTAGTTCTTAGTTATGAATATACGTAGCCAGTTTTATGGTTAGGCCTCCCCCAATTGAGCATTTCTAAATGACTTTTTTTGCCCCTCTTTTGTACCATCACCCAACGCAGGGTACCGCCCCATTGTCGCCCAACTACCCAGCGCGCCAACTCAGATATACCCTACATCCGATTTGTATCTTCGAAAAAATGTCGGGACGAGACCAATATATGTAAGAATGGCTCCTTAGCACATGTCTGCATAAGGCGAATCCTCCACAGCTTTAACATTTGTGGAAAATAACCCCTGTAGATTGCACTCCTGTGCTGACTAATCGGGGGGGGGGACTCCCCCTCCAATTGTTGAATCCATTTTGGGGTCAATTCGCAATCTGTTAATTGAACCCCATGTGGCTACTTCCATCCGCGCCGTGTTCACAAAAAAAATGGCACCATTGTAGTGTTGGCCAATTTGGATATAGACACACATGTATATATACATATATATATATTTTTTCTTCTTTTTTACCTCATTTCTTTGTCGCTCCCCCCCCTTCCCCTTTCATTGCAGCAAAATGTGGACATGCTGGTGAATAAGTTTCATAACAATGCTAACCACCACCAGAAGTACCCATCATATAGGAAGTACCACAAGGAGTTCCACCCTTTTCCGACTGTACGGCATTATGGCAGCGTGCGCGTAGAAGCCACTACGCATTTTTTTGTTCATTTCGGAGATCCATTTTTGTATCCCTTTGCACTGTGCATGTGAAAAAGGGAGGAGAGAAAAAGTGCACTATCGCGGAGTGAACATATTGGTACGTGCGTGCCCATTTTAATACCTACAACTTATGTGTCCGTTTTGCTTTTGCGTGCGCCCTCCCCCCTCAGCGAACCTTCGCGCCGAAGGAACACTTCGACTCCCTTATGAACAACACCCTGAGGAACTCCAAAAGGGAGGACTGCGTGAAGAGCCCCATCCACTTCAGAAACAACAACCAGTATAGCTACAAAAACGTCTTCGGAGGACCCCCCCCGCGTGCACCTGTCCATATATACAAGGAGGAAAACCACTTCCCCAGGAACATACCAGTGCAGCCGAACGTGCCAGGCATTCTGGTAAATGTCCCTGTGATACCTGTTGGCCATCCGATCGTTAATGCACAATTTATGGAAAGCCCCCCCCAATATTATCCCCCCTATGTCAGAGGGAACTACGCGAATAATTCAGTTCCTGCCAGTGCAAATGGTGGATATTATTATAACATCCCCGTATCCAGTGTGGACAGTAATTATTCTCCAAATAAAAACATGAATTTGTTTGCAGCGACAAATCCGCATATTCCAAATTTGCATGTACAATCTCCACAAGTGCCAAACGTGCCCGTACAGACTCCGCAGGTGCCAAATTTGCATGCGCAAAATGCACACATTAACATTCCCGTAACGCCATATATGACTCCAACCCTGAACTACGGCGTTAACAGCAGCAATCCTCTGAACATGACGAATAATGCCAATGTACCGAATCCAAACATTAATATCCCACCGTACCCCCCAGAATATCTCGTTGTGAATACCCCGAAATATCCGAGCACACAGGCAGTGCCCATGCCTGTTTACCCACAGTACCAGTACCAGAATTATTATCCATCGTCATCGCCCCATGGGATGAAGAATTCTTAAATAGTGCTGAAAAGTTTTACAGCTAGCTTTTTTTTTTTTCTCCCGCCACATCCCTACTTGTTTAGTAAAATAAGAATGTGTGCATATGAACGACTTCTACTCGTGCGGCTGGTAAGTCTTCACTTGGAGAAGATGTCGACAACGCGGAATGTGGGAAGTTGTCCTACTGCCAGGAGAGGATCGAACCGTGCGGTCGCGGAAGGGATAAAGAGGCTGAAAGGGGAGAGCTAGCTAAAGGGGAAAAAAAAATCAACAGGAAAACAACAGATAGACAGGAAAACAACATATGGAGAGAAAAACAACATATGGAGAGACTCCCACCGAATGAGGAACTTTGAAAGGCCAAAGAAAGGCATTTTCTTTTCTTTTTTTTTTTTTTTGGAAGGCCCCCGGTTCACGATGTAGCTTGTTATGCCCCGTTGCCAAGATAGCTTGCTCCCCCAATAATTAACTTTATATGCCCAACATATAAGTGACGTATTCGAATTTGTGTTTCATTGTGTTTCGTGGCGTTTCGTAGCGCTTGGTAGCGCTTCGTACCGTTTCGTAGTGTTTCGTAACATTTCGCAGCTTTTCTCGGCATTTCACAGCATTTAGTTGGATACCGTTTCGTTTCGCTGCATTTCGCTGCGCCGCTTTTCTTCGTTCCATTTTGTAACGCCGGTGTATAAAGCAATACAACTGCTATACACATGTACATGTTCTGTGTACCAGACACGGTACTCTGCCCTGAATGAAGAAAACTTTGTTTACAATTCATTTTTTTTCTTTTTTCTATATAAAAGCGCACGCTTAATATCCAAGTAACATTCGAATTAAATTTAGTTTTTAATATTTGAAAAACAGAATGTTTAAATTGAGCAAGTGCGGGCGCGGGAGCGAACTCGGCCGCGTCCGGGGAGTATCTCCACGAATACTCAGGAGTGTGAACAAAAGTACCCTAATGCGCACCTGCTCGGGAAGACGAGAACAAAGCCAGAAGAACAAATGTCCTCTGCTAAAGTTGGAGGGAAAAAGCGGAGCCACTTGCGTAAAATGGGGGAAAATATATACACCTGTGAAACAGTCCCCACGAACGCGAAAAATTTTAATTACCTCTTCGTCGCGGTTTCTTCGAAATGTAGCTATACAGCGTAAGCAGAATGCAGCGACAACGTAGAGCGGCAATACGCCAGCTATGCTTTCCTCCTCACTAGTCCTATGCCACCAATGCGGTAAGTGATTTCCGGTAGCAGCCATATGAAGGCATCAAAATATACATACACATGTTTATCATCCTTTTATTTTACACAAAATGTAAGGGACGCACGTTCAAAGGGTGAACTCATGAATGCTTGCACACACACCAATTGTTTAAAATTGGCCAGTTGAGATTAATCAAAAATGTTGCACCCTTCCCGTGAAAGTTTTTTTTTTTTTTTTTTTTTTTTTTTACCTTTCACCAAATGGAAAAAGCCTTTCTCATATTCCACTACCATGTGCATCTTTTTACCAACGTTGCGCGATGCACTGGGGGCCTTTTGACTTGTGCAAAATTGGACAATCTCTCTGTTGCAGTTGTCAGTGACCTTTTCGGATAGGAATATATGTAGAAATATGAGGTGTTCAACCGTACGAGGCTCTGTTTAAAAGGAAAAGTGCCTCACAGTTTTTTGCCGTCACGCGCTTTCGCTGAAAAATGCGAGGCACTTGTACATTAGCGCCATCAATAAAAAAAAGACAACGATGGGGTGTGACATAAGATAGGCTCAGATTTAAATTTAATTTCTTTCTTTCCTTCTGACAGAGTGGGTTGCAATTAAGTGCTTCCTTTTGTTAAGAGGTTCTGGGTCAAGCAGATTTGGTTGTATAAACGCCTTTACCTCATCGGTATAGAGAAGAAGCGTAAAGATGCACATTTTGCGATAAAACCAAAAGGAAACGAAATAACGCTATTCAGGTGCGAAGGAAAAAGACACTTTAACGGTGGTAACATGCAGAATTGTGTGCCATCAGTTTTTTTCTTTTTTTTTTCTGCACACATACAGGGGGAATTGAAAACAAGGACACCACAACAGGAATCTATTTTTTTCCTTTTTTTCTTCTTTTCTTCTTCTTTTTTTCCCATTTTGCATTGACCATTTTTACTAAAAAAAAAAAAGACTTGTAAATTTTTCCTTCACCAGAAGGAATAATACGTTAGCGTAGAAACTGTTGTGTTCATTTTAGTTGCTGAAACACAAATGTGTGAGAAATGCGGAAAAATTGCGGAACTGTACGTGGTCAATTTGTTCAGCTTTCACTCGTAACGTAGTCTACAGTGTGTAGAAATCACCGTCACTTTTTTTTTTTTTTTTTT